TACCTCCAACTATTCTATTTATATGCTTTGTGGACGCGTCCATCTCATTACATGCTATTACCAATTATTACATCATTTTACCATTCATGTTACTATTATTACGCGACGCGCCACAATATCGCGTTCCTATCCCTATTGTTCCCACAACACTGGTTATGGAACAATACAACAATTAATTACGTTGTCACTCAACCTATTGTACTTTGTCCTCAATTTACTAAAGCCATTAAATCCCGATTAGTTTGGACGTTTGTTTTATTTTAGTACATTTATGGCAATCAATTAAATGACAACAATAACAACAACAAATACTGTATACATGTATACTAATAATAAATAAATAATAAAATAAATAATATAAAATTTTTTTACTAAATGACGTGTCCCACCTATCATTGTCCCGAATCATAATACTGTATATCTTATACGTATGTAAAATCCGGGATTCATGAATACGTGTCAATAGTGTATTGGACTATTTCGAAAACATAGATAATGGAAGCATTATTACATTTTTAATGTTAATTCAAACCTGTTCTAGATTTGTTTTTAGACTTATCCTTAGCGAAAGTTTTGGTATACTGCAGATTTCTGGTAATCTTTTGTATTCAATATGAGTGGAATTATAAAATCATAAATATGTTTATCCGAATGCCAAGCTTTAAAAGCATGAATTCATCACTCAAGCAAATTGAATAAAATTTTTATTGGGGTTGTTTTTTTGCGTGTGTGTATATGTGCTCTTAAACAACAAGAATAATACTGTAATAATTATTTTGCAAAAACAATATTTCTTTTCTATCATAACGATGACTCTTTATTTCTATCTTTCTATGCTTCTCATTCTTATGTGTTCTTGCGATTAGATCATGTGATTATATGGTGTTTGCGGATACTTTATTTGGACAAGCCGGGAATATTTTTTAATTTCGGAAACTATTGGTTTTTTAGAAAGAACGTGAATCAAGTTGAAGCACATTTGCTATATCCAAGGTTGCCATAATGGGCTATCTGAATGAACGAAGGATTATTGTCATTAGTTACTATGTTTTTTTAAGAAGAAACAAAAACATTAAATGACATTTTTGTTGATTTTTTGCATATATGCGCGTATCAGAAACCAAATTTACGAGAAAATAAATAGGTTCAATAAAAATTTAATTGGAATATATAATTTTTATTGGTTGTTCACCGCAGCATTTTTCTATAATTTCGACACGCTGTTGTCACATTCCTATTCCTTTTACGAAGCATAAATGAAGAGTATATTTTTAAGATATTCAAAATCCATAGAGGTAGATTATCGTGATAATTGATTATGTATAAAAAAGCTTCTGAGTGATAAAAAAACAAAGAGCATTTTAAGCTTCCTTAGTATTAATTGTAGTTTTTTTAAATATGCGTCCATCATTGTATGTCAACTACTAATTTAGATGATTTTCATGTACATCCTGAGAATAGATATTTCGGATTGTACCTTGTGCTTTAATCATACGTATCTTGTTTTAATAACGCCAAATTAAATATGATGTAAAGGGAGATTGACCGATCACGTTGTACTGTATATCATATCTTAATCGCTGGTTCATCTAAGAAAGAAATTGTGATATAAATCCTCCTTAATATCTTTGCTTATTAATATATTTTATATAAAAAAAACTGTGGATGATATATTAGACATTTTAATGAAAGGTATAAAAAGACATGTCTTCCATAGGCCAAATTTCAAACTGAATTTTTTTAATCGAATTTTTCCTGATCAAACGTTTTCTAAATACTGATTTTATCAATGTCGAATAATTCGAATAATCAACAACCTGCTCAACAACCGCAAATTCATCGATTAATTGCCCCTCCTCAACAAGGGAATTTACAAGCTCTCGTTCCCATAACAGTTCCCCAACACGTTTTTGCTCCAGAAAATCCACCAACTCTTCAACAAGATGGATTCGATTTAATTCAAGGAAACTCGTTTTTATCAAACTCTACTTACACTTCAGATGCACCGGATTTTACGAAAGTTATGTTGGAAGGGGATAACAATTGGTGTAGCAATGAATAAAAATCACTCATTCTCAAAATCAATACAGTATTTTTTGTTTTTGTTTTTTTCTAAATTAATTAATTACTTTTCCACTCTACTTCCCTCCTTTATTTTACTTAATTTAATTTACTTTACTTTTCTCTCTTCCCACCTCATCTCTTCTGTTCCCTTCCCTCCCGTATTCTAATTTATTCTTCATTATTTTGCCAATCAATCTTTTATGATTAACTATTTTTTTACTCGACATACTATAAATTAATAATAAAGACTATAAATTTAAGGATATGAATCGTAATGATTAACCATTCCTTGATTTATATTTATTTATATTTCATAGTGTCGTGGGTAAGCTGGGACTTAGGTGCATGGCACAATATAGCGTCGCTTCTTCGCGACATCTGAGAAGAAAAAATCAATCTTGAATAGAGTGATGTATGTAAACATGCAGCACAAGTAACTATATTTAAATAAAACAAAGTTAAACTGACATGAGTTCTATATTCGTAATAATAAATCAAATAATATTTGATGTGTAATCAATACCGTTTATTTCGATCCGAAAGTAAAAATTGTGTTAATACTGTATTTATAGGATAAATAACATGGAATTATTATACGAGTTATGTAAAAAATTTGAAACTTTGGGTAACTACTGTAATAATTCTTTTCTTTCTTTTCTTTATATAAGCATAACATTAATTATCTTTTGGGAGCATAGCATATGAATGATTAAGTATTGAAAATTGACATCGACGAGAAGTACAGAGTGTCCGAAATTTACTTGTAAATATCTTATTCTTATAATTCAATTTACCAATCATTTTTATTAAATGACGTGTGATCATTATCACTTCGATCGGAAACACTATTAAAAGCCGTAAACATTTTAAAGGAAATTATATACAGAAAAAACAATAATTGGCAGAGGGACCGACTACATAACACTGAGATCAACGAGCGTACATATACAGTACTGTAATGGGCTTTCAAGAAGATCATGGAAATTACAAGAAGGCTTGCTCTTTATTTATACCGATGATCTGTAGAAATTACACCAAGACTGTGGACACAGTCTGAAAATCATTTCATATATGCGATTGCGACATTTAGAAATGGCATTCTTACGGTTTTATAATTGCCTGTCGAAACACACTCGAATTTAATTGGTAATTCCTTTTCCTTTTCTAATGATAACCTGTAACGTAATTAATTTTATTTGGAAAGGAATTTCTCACTTGCAATTTAATACCAAATATGACAATTAAATATCGATAGATATCATTTGTCGCATGACTAACACGTGCAAATTTGGGATGTCATACTTTTTTTGTGAATAACCATGGAGGAAAAAACCTCGGTCACCTATATGATCTAATCCTATACAATCCGTTTAATATAAGTCGATTTCAGATTAGGCCACAGTAACAATCAATCTATATCGGATTGAATTGTTGGTTATCTACTGTATGTTTTAAATAAATTTATCATTTAAATTATTTAGAATGCAGCAAATACCTATAAATGCAAACGTGTTTAAATGTACCCATCAATTTTATCTCAAGTTGGGATCATATTATTAAAGCATAATTTCTACACTTTGAATATTATTAGTTTTTTTAAAAAAGTAACTATATTTTTATAACTTGATTTTCAATGATTTTATTAATGCATGATAAATTTTATTTAATTATAAATGACTTTTACTAATTTATTGGTTTCAGTTAATTATTGTTATTTTTATTTAATTTGTTAATTTCATTTTCTAATTTCATTTGCCATTCTTATCCAAATTAATCAACTTTTTTAGTTTAAATTAAATTAACATTACAATAAAATTTATTTATTATCTTGTAAATCCACAGTATATAAATTATGACATTATCATCACTGAGCTTTATTTTATTAAATTTGTCTTATACAACAATAATAAATTCTTTTTTTTTATCTTTATTTATGCATATGTTTTCATTTGATAAATATTTATTTATTAATAAATGTTTCTTTTTTTATAAGTTATACCAGGAAATTTTTTAAAGAATTATTTATTGATAGTCAACCTATAATTGCTAGTAATCAATTATAATTAATTGATATATATTGATTGTGGTACTTTCTAACAATTAATATCAATAATAAAAAATTATTATTAATATATTTATATCAACATTGATATACATCATATTTTATTAGGTAAATAGGTTGCAATTTATAACAATAAATACTATGTATTGTTAAAAAACAATCTAATTAATTTCAGCATTAATTGATATTATTTGATTTCACAGATTAGTTAAAATATATAATTATTTACTAAATATTCATTTGTTTTATCAAATCTTAAAACCATGTGTATGCTTTTATCTATACTATCCATTAATATACAATTATACTATTCAAGTAATTTTAATTTTTGACATTCCATAATTCATTCTCTTCTTAATATCAATAAATATAAACAAGTTTAAATAATTCACTATCTTTAAATTTATAAAATTTAATATCAATAATATTTAAATAAAATATTAAATCAATATAATAATTTTTATTATTTATATTAATATAATTTAAATTTAATTATTATCAAACTATATCAATTAGTTTCTTTGTCTTCTTTTTTTTTACTTATATCAATATTAATAAAAGATGGATTTCATAAAAATTTGATGAAAAATGGATAATATCATTACTTTTTAATATTGTTGAAAAAATAATTCTAATTGGTAATTCTTATTAATAGAATTAATAGATTCTTCTTCAAGAAACTTCTCAAGACTTGTTATTAAGATATTAAATCTCTTAATTTGTAACAAATTTAAATCATCTTTATTTTTCTATATAAAGTGATTTAAATCTTCTAATTTTAATATTTATAAAAGTTTATAAAATTCTATAATTCATTGATATTTTTTAGAAGCTTTGCTTTCTATTAAAATTTTTTGCTTAATCTAATACAATTAATTACTAAATTTTAATAAATAATAAATAATAAAAGTTAAAAAAGATAAATTTATAATTATACTATTTTTAATATTTGT